TCGGAGCTAAATATGACTTTAGTCGAGATCGTGAACGACGAGCTGGTGTTGATGATATGGTAAAATAAAAACAAAAAGAACAAATCTCTTTCATTTTATTTATCTTTTCAATTTAGGTTTTCATGTCAAAAAATACTGACTCCGAAATAAGCCATAATCTCAAAATTCGTTTTGATGTCAATTATATTTATGTAATTTTTTTTCCTCGCTCCTTTAAGTTTAAAAATTTATATTTCTATTTAAAATAGACATATATTGGACCTGTTCTAATTGCTGTAAATCCATATAAAGATGTTGAATATTGTCGTGAAAGTCATATGGAAAAATATCGAGGAGCTGTAAGTTTAATACTATATATATATATATATATAAATTTGAATATTCAATATATTTATAATTAGACTCAAATGGATAATGCTCCACATATATTTGCTATAGCTGAAGATATGTTTAGTAATATGTTAATTGATTCCGAAAAACAATGTGTTATTATAAGTGGTGAATCAGGTGCAGGGAAAACAGTTAGTGCAAAATTTATTATGGCTTATATTGCTGAAGTAAGATTTCGAAAGAAAAAAAGGTAAATATGTATTTTATTTATTCTTCTTTCGTCTATTAAAAGGTATCGGGTGGTGGCCCGAACGTGAAGCGTATAAAGGATGTTATTTTACAGTCCAATCCATTATTAGAGGTAAAAAATTATATACATATTTAACGGATGTGGCATAAATAATGGTATCATTCGTGTTTTCTTTTTATTTTGTTCACGTTTGTAGGTAGAAAATTACGGTTGATTTAAAATGACCCGCTGTTTAATTGTATAAAATCACACGAAAACAGTAGGTCTCACCTTTAAAGTTACAGAGAAAATGTACAGACATTAACGTTTATCATGAATATTTCATCGACTTCGTTCCAAACTGATTGAGATTTTACATTGGAATATTTCGCTCTAGTTGTCTCCCATCAAATTTCCCCAATCCTCCTAAATGCCAGTATATGATAGGACTATTGGTCCTGAAAGGTTTGCAGACACAGCCACTGATCAATTGAAAAAACGAAAGCTGTAATGAACAAAAACCCAAGGTTAGATGTAATTTTTCCGAGAATTAAACAGCGAATCTTTTGAAGCTATGCGTAGTTTTTTATTTAAAAATGTGAATAAAATAAATATAAAAAAATCAATAGTGCTATTATTTATGGCGCATCTATTATATATAGAAATATTTGATTTTGTTTTGTTAAAAGGCATTTGGTAATGCAAAAACAATTCGTAA